TGAAGTTTGTTTTATACATTTCTTTTCTTTCTCCTCTTCTTCTTTCTCTATATCATTTTTTCTCTCTTTAAGCTCTTGGACGATGGAAGAATGAAATAGAAATGATGAAGAAATTTGAAAAAAAAAATCCATATTTATAGAAAATAGAGACTGTTAGATTTACACCAAGTGGTGAAATTCGGTGAGGAAAGAGAAAGTTGAGTGGAAGATGAGTGATTTGACGCGACATGACAATGGCAAAAAAAACAGAGGAAGAAATCCTCAACCAACAGCGGCTCTCTACCCAAGGCGGTGCACGACACCCAAAGGGCGGCAACACATTGCCTGAGGTAGTGCACGACGCCCAAGGGGTGGCAGCACACTACCCGAGGCAATAGTTCATCTCCGTAGGCCGGTCGAGCGCAGGGGCTAACTTGCGCGCACATAGGGCCTATAACATGCAGGCTTACTATGCGGTCGGTATGCGCCCAGCGCCTGGCTCTATCCACGCATGATGTGATACACACGCGGACTAGCATTTCTGCACGTGATGGGTCGCAGGCACAAACCAGTATCGTGCCCCGCGCGGGATGGGATGTGCGCAACAATGCGCACATCCCTATGGCTGCTGCATGCATGCACACAACGTGTGGTGCCCACATAGGCGAGCCTTTCCCGCAAGATTTCGCCTCTTTTTCCCATTTTTTTTCTAAAAATTATTTTTAAATAAAATTACAACAAAATAAAATAAAATAACAAAATCTGAATAAATTAGAATTATGAATTTAAATTATGAAATATGATATAAACTATGAGATAAATATAAATGAGTTCAGGTGGTCTTAAGGCCCAAATAAATAGAAATTTTTATATACAAATTTAGCACAGTGGGGAGCGAAGTGTTACAAATCACATGACACGATCCAAGATTCCATGCAAAAACGAGACCGTCTAATGCCCCCTATAGCTCTACCTGAAGAACATAACAAATACCAATATTCCTGAAATGTCCCCCAAGCCACTGACCAGTATTATCCCTTGTAAGTGCACCAGTATAAGTAATATCACTACTACCACGGACAACCCTGTCTATGTTGATCTTGACCCAGTTTTGGGGTGCATAGTCCAATTGATGAGTTTCTCCTTCTTCTGAGCATGCTGACAAGATATAGTAGCCTCAACGGTAGAAGCTTAAAAAGTATACGCAATTAGTTTGAAAACTTCAAACCTCAACTCCCTGAAGCCAAATGGCCTCCCACCGAAAATGAACGCATTATACTGCTTCCATATGAGCCAACAAGTGATGCAAAACACAACCTTACAGTCTTGGAAGGACGAACACCAGCCATATTGGTTTTGCAAGTTAGTATTGACCCAATCATCAAAATGTGTATAAAAGAAACTATGGGCGACTACTTGTGGAATGATCATTTTTTAGAGACCCTTCGCCGGGTGACATTCCCTCAAAACATGATTGATATCCTCAATGTTGTGCCCACAGGCATTGCAACTCAGTCATCCGTCATGTGCCTGCGAACCCACTCCTCGCCAATAAGAAAGCCATTCCGTAAGACCAACTATAGAAAATGTCGAATGCATTGTGTGTCAGGCCACTTCAAGCTAAATTCCACCTGTTATCTGCAAAAAGAAGAGAATAATCAATAATAATATTGTAAACATAATTTAAAAAAAAACTTAACATCAAGTGAGAGGCCCCAATACAGAACATCCACCTCCATACCATCCTGCAGAACTCTCACAGCTGCCAACTGAAGCAGGATCCTAGTTGGAAGCCTACTATGCAAATGATCTCAATCCCACTAACCATTCGAGACCTCTAGGTCCCTGACTCTCTTGGACCCATAAATATCATCAATCGGTTAGAAGGCAAGAAGTTTGAAAGGACCTAAGTCCCCAAGCCAGTTATCTTTTCAGAATCTAGCTCTATTGTCATCACCAATGTGTCAGGCCAACCCACGTCTCAGATCCTCCCAGAGACCATGCATCTTCCGCCACAGATGAGAACATGTATTTAAATTAACAGAGGTCGTATACAGGTGATCTTATTTATACTTATGTTGTAAAATTTTAACCCAAATGAGGCTGGGTTTGGTAAGAATAATAAAGTCCACATTCATGAGGAACGCCTTGTTGAGAGCTCTTAGGCTCAGGATACCACAACCCCCATGATCAATAGATTGACACATATCCTTCCAACTCACAAGGCTTGGCCTTTTTGCATCGTTGGTGGATCCCCAGATGAAGTCGCACACAAGCTGATCAATTTGATCACAGAGTGAGCTGGGAATGGCGGCAGTCTGCATCGCAAAGGCAGAAATTGCCATCAGCATAGACTTGACAAGTGTTAAGTGACCAGCCGTGGATAAACTAGTGATTTTCCACCCAGACAACTTCCCTTGTACCTTTTCGACGATGTACCTGTAGGTATTCTTGGTAATCCTACCATTTGTTAGAAATCTCTTTTAACACACTTTTATAACACAATAGTGTGGAATAATTAATAATTAATACAATTACAAAACAATCAATTATTAAAATAACATCAATATATACTGATAGTTAAATTTCTAGAATCTTATATGAAAATTAATAATTTTCTAAAGTTTTAAAAATATCAGAAAAATATTTAAATTTGTTGAAAAAATAACCAAAAATCTAATTTAAAAAATTTAATTACCTTTAATAACTTGCTTAATTTTTAAACAAAGCTTACAACGTTGATCTATTTAGGTTAAACCCATGGTGGTTAGTGTCATTTTTACTTAAGAGAAGCTTGCATTATTCTTTTCCTTTTTCTTCAGAAAAGCTCCCATTATTGTCCTTTAGATTCGAAGAATATGTCATGGCCAAGCTAGATGTTTAAAGTTTAAGTCAAAAAGAAAATTGTGCAATTAAAGGTTACTTGAAAATATATATCAATTAAGAGAGAAACTTTTTACAAAAAATAAAAAATAAATGGATTAATGCGTTTAAAGATGTATATTCTAATAAATATTTTGTATATATTTTAGAAAATATTTCAAAAAAAAAAATCATAATATTTTATTTATACAAGAGTTTACAACTTTATTTATAATATATATTTTGATTTTTTGTTTGTTAATGTAATTATATTTACTGAATCATATTAAATTTTATATTTTTTATTTTATTTTTTACTTTATATTATTATAAATATATTGAAGATTTATTTTCTTAACAAATAAGATATTTTAAAGTTTTAATAATTTTAAGTATTTTATTTTTGAGAGAGAATATTCACCAAATTAAATCGATAAAATACACATATGTGTGTGTGTGTGTGTGTGTGTATGTACACCCAAACATATATATATATATATGTGTACATATGTATGTATCGTTACGTAGTGTGCTGGAACTTAGGAATTATGATAGTTAGATTCAAATTTATAGTTAGATTTTTCTCAATTAAATTTCACTTTTCCTTTTTTTGTTTATTGCTTGTGGTTTGGTGAAGATTACCATTCTAGTTGGTTCCCTTGGTGGGGACAATGCAAATTCGCCAGCATCAATTTGTCGAGTCCCTCTTTAAATCTTAATGATCACACGTCAGACACACGCACATATATATATATATATATGTATGCAATGACATGACATTTAGTTAAGGTATTTTTCAAATGGAAAAAAAAAAAAGTTTTAACAACATATTTTTTATATTAATATAATAAATATATAATTTTAAATGAAAATCTTATAATTATTAAAACTGAGATTTACTAAATTTTTTAATCTGACAAGTCTTTAAAAGCAAAAACAATAGGTTAATCTTAATGAGTACATGTTTTTTTCACTAAGGATGATAAGAACACGAATTTCAGACGAGTTTTATTAAAACTGAATTTCATTCTTAGGTATAGAATGTATTGCTCTAAAATTGTTTAGAATTTGGAACAAGTTTATATATAAAAAAAAAAATTATATTGTGTGGTTCCAAAGTGAAACCTACCCCATTCCAATATCAACAACTAATAATTTAGTAAGTTAAACATGCTCGTCATCGAATGATTGGAATGTAAACATAAAGATGAGGATGAAGGAAGAAGATGGAGATGAAGAAAGAAGGTGAACGAGACGACTACGTGGAAGGGAGGAAACAGAGTCAATAAACAATGATAAATCATGTTTAAATAGATTTTTACAATACAAACTCAAACTTTTCGCCCCGGTTGGATAGATTCAAAAAGTTTACTTTAGTTTTATTCAGTTTCAGTTAAAACATACAAATATTTCGTTCAAATTTATATATATATTTTATTGTTCGTCTACCTTATCATTATTTGTTTATTTATTTACATCATTTTCGTGATGATGGTATTAAATGAATTTAATCCGCAACCCATATCATTCCTATACAAATTATATTTTTAAATTCGTTTCAAATTCAAAGTGAGTATAGATTTGTATATTGCAATTGTGGGTCAAGTTAAATTTTTAGGAGATCTATTTCAAATTTATTTCATTATCATTATATAATAATTAATATTATTATTGAAATAATACTGACTACTTTATCATATGAATATAAAAGTTAAAAATTTTGTATGATAAATAAGTAAAGTAATTATAAAAATTGATAAACAATTACTAACAATTTATCTTTATTTGATAAGTTGAATGAAAATTCTTAATTAAGAATCTTAATCTTATTCATTTCATAAGAATATATTATCTAATAGTAAGAGATATATTGCTGAACACACTAACATTTCTAGGTTATGGTTCACAAACTTCACACACATTATGTCTTATATGTACATATATATATATATATATGTATATATACACACACATATATAATTCATGATTGAGGCGGGTCAAAGAAATGAAATTGGAATGATTAAGGAGGGCCTTTGAAAATTGTTTTTAAAGAAGCATGTACATGGAAATGATGATGGCGAATGAAGCTGGGCATGGTTAGCAAAGAAAAGGAAACAGTGTTAATCAATGAGCATTAGGTATATAATAACATGGGTCCCTTCATTTCAAACCATCATCATCTTCCCATTAATCAACATTATAATTTTTTTTTCCCGTAAATCAAACCATATTTTAATTATAAAACCATACAAAGGAGATTAAATTTTTCCACGTCATCCCTGGCCCACATGTGGGCCATCCCCTTCAAAAACTCTCTTGAGAGAAAAACTCCTCTTTTTTTTTTTTTTTTTTTACTACAAACGTAAATATCCAAAAACTTAGGGGCGAAAATAGAAATTGTAGAAATTCATACACACACTGACAAAGCTCTCTGATTTAGTAAGGCGGGTTCTTTTCTTTTGCTTTTTTTGATCCTCTCCTTGGCCGACACGTGGATTTAGGTCAACGTTCTTCTCTGGTCAAACGTTTTCGGTTGACGAAGGGAGGAGTGGCTGAGTAAGGGAAGTCTTGATGTGGGTGCTTGTTCTGTTGCTGTGCTCCGGCGGGGACTGAATCACTGCCCTTTCTTGCGAAAGCTTCCTCTCTTCGCTTTTCCCCCATAAGACAAGGTATAGACCTATGATGATCAGCACTGCTCCGATGATCCTGTAGAGCCAAAACCAGTACATACCATTATTTGACGAATGTGATTTGAAGTATAAAAAATGATTTTGAATCGAACGGTTGGGGAAAGGAGAAAGGGCCCACGTACCCTCCCAAGTAGAATTCTTCGCCTAAAGCAATGGAGGCCATAATGGCGACAACAAGAGTCTGAACAGGTTGATAGACTGCCACGAAGACTGGGCCACCTCTGTCAATACACCATATCTGTACAGCGAATGCTATCCCAGATGCCACCACCCCCTGCATGTTTCCACCCACATACTTACACTTAGTCGCTAAACTTTCTTATTTTCTGTTCACACACGTACCCACCACCCACTACAGCTCAATACTCCACATGCATTATTGCTTATTCACCTTTTTTTCTTTTTTCTAAAATGAACACAGTTTTCAGAAACTTGAAAAGATTAAAAAAGAAAAAGTTTCATCTTTACAAAAAAAAGAGCTTTTAAATTATACGATCAGTCCGGTGGAATCGTCATTTAATCAATTTGTCTGGACATGTCCAAACTAAAGCTTTTATTTTTATGTATATGGAAGACTTTAAACAGACTCACAAAAATACGCTCTAGATTCTTTACCGTCCATTCTCGCAGACAGCCATCCGCGTCTTTAGATATTTTTATAAAAAGCCACGTATCGCCAAAGTCCAACAAGGTGGCCATGGCCGAGATCATTGAAATCATTCAGGAAAAGTGATCGTTGATTACTTTGGTTTCTCTTTTTCTCTTTTTCAATCAATATAAATATAATATATATGAGTGTGCCATATTTTAACCTTTTTTCTGCTTTAATAATTACTTTTATTAGAAGAAATTTACTAGCGGAAAAGATAGATCTGTATATGCATGCGTAACTGACCGCATAGAGGATAGTGAAGAGCTCTCCACCGGAGTGAAACATCCAAGCCTGTGGATCTCTCTCGGCAAACCCCGCGATGACCAAGAACTGAATAATCCCAAAGAAGCAGGTGTAGGAGGTGACTGAGAGCCGAGCTGGGTACTTCTTTAGAACCGGTGCCTGCAACACGAGCCAACCGGACCATGACAAGCAATGGCCAATGAGGTATATACAACCTAGACTCCAATTCTTGCCCTTAGCATCACCCAGAGTAACGAACATGGAATCGGGTCTTTGTAGCGGTGGAACTGGGCTATATATGGCGGGACCCTTGTATAGAGTAATAACTGATGCCCCAACCACACAGCAGGCAGTGCCTATCACCTTCGCTATACCATCTTTTCTGTCTAGACGAACTTTCTCTATCCTGCAGCAACCATAAATAGACGTACCAAAAGCCATTTTAGAAGGCAGTTAATTATGATCTACCTATAACTACAATTATATGCAAATACATGTTGTTGGTTGATTTAACGTGAACTATCATATTTATCCAGTACGCAGGTTGCCCGTAAATTCAACATGTTGCTCGTGAGTCATTTTAGCTGCAACAATTCAAATGTCATTGATGAAATCAATAAGGAAGCCAGAGGACTTGCCGGAGTAGGGCTGCCATGAGAAAGGTAATGGCAGGAACAGAGTTTTGGATTGCAGATGCGAAGGTGGGAGATGTATTGTCCAATCCTAGCAAGTAGAATCCTTGGTTTGCAGTTATTCTGTACGATGTCGGATTGAAAGTTTGGTAAAAAACAAAAGAGACGTCACAAAGGAGTCATTACTTGGATCAGTCTTGGGAAACATCAATTACTTTACAACATGTATATATATATATAGAGAGAGAGAGAGTGTTTTATAAGGTCATACCCAATAAGTGCAAGGACGAAAAACTGGAGGAGAAAGTTAAGGGTGATGGCTGGCCTCTCTTTCCTGTAGAAAAGAAGAAGTTGGACGATCACGTTCAAATAATTATATTAATGGAAAAAAAAGACCTGAGGGTATAAACTAAGTAATTAATAATCAATTATCAGTAATGATGATCATTGAGTAGCCATACTTCTCTAAGAAATAGGCGAAAGGAAGGAGGAGAATCAAAGCAATGATGTTCCTATAAACAGGGAAGACAAGCTTGCTAATGCCCATGTTAAGGGCAGCTCTGGAAACTACATGGAAACCAGCATAACCAAACTGCAAGGCCAACATGGCCATGTGCAGCTGTAATCTTTCAGGCACGGAACACCACATCCTCCTTCCAGAGGCTGAACTCCCAGTATCCGCCATTGAAACGAGGTAATTATGTATTATATCTTCCGATAACAATAATATCAACAACAACAAAAACAATAAGAAGAAGAAGAAGAAGAAGAAGAAGAAGAGGAAGAAACGGATGAAGGAAGGAGTGTTGTGTGGAGAACGAGGTAGAGAAAGGGCGGTATATATAAATATAGGTGGAAGGAAGGGGGAGTGAAAAAGAGAGGAGGGTGGTGTAGTAGCGTGGGGAGGGTGGCCCAGATTGGCCCTAAAAAGACGTAACGTCAACAGTTAATAGAGCTTAGAATGTTTTTGGTTGTCTCCCACCTTTTAGTTTGTTCCCCTCTTCTGAGCATACAAGACAACCTTTATCGCATTAACCATCCATCCATATATTATACACCCTCTACCCAGAGAAGAAAATAAAAGAGAAGAAACAAGGCGAAATATACATATAATATAATATAATATTTTTTAACAGGTTCTGTTTTGGCACCATGCCATTAATTATGATAATTGAGTGAGAGAGAGAGAGAGAGAAAGAGAGAAGGCAGAAAGGGTCGAGCCGCCATTGATCGATCGAGCGCACGAGGGGAGGAAGGTGGGTACCTCATGCGTTCTATTATAGTAGCTAGCTATCATCCCCTTCAACCCCACCGTATATACTCATTCCCCCCCAACTTAATACACCTTAGCTAATTTCCAGCAAAAATATACACAGGTATATGCATACACAGACGCTAATTAATGGATGCTTCCCTCTATATTCTTTAGGTTTCTTTTGGTTTATTAATTTATTAATAAAAAATGGTTTTTTCCTACTTTTCATCTTTAGTTTTCACGCATATAAGATACACTATTGTTTACTCTTACCAAGTGAAATCATTATATAAAGATATAGATTAAAATAAACATAAAAATTAATATTTTACGATAAAGAAACCAATAGTATATTAATCGAACAAGAGAGGCTAAGAAAAGAGGACCAAGGATATGATTAACGTGTTTACTCACTGTATGACGTGATCTCTCCCTCTTATAATTCCAAACTCTAACTTTTCATTTACTTAACTTGAGTTATCATCGTTCATAACTTCTATTTTCTACATCTAATTCCTACTTAAGTTGTGATTTTTTGGATCAACAAAATAACATTTTCATAAGATATTATCTACATTGATATTTAGCAAGAGAGTAGAATTCTTACATATCAATTAAATATTTTCATATAGTTTATGTAATGCCAAATATTTGTTTATAGTTCATGAAATTCTCCCTAGAGTTATAATATCAAAGTTTTATAATTTATATACAAGATGAAATAATGTACTAATCTACAGATTAGTTAATGATAATTGATACAATAGTTTATTAACCGAAACTTAATAGTATTACTATTTAGAAAATATGTGTATTTAGTATATATTTATTATATAATTCATCTATTTGTGAATGATGTTTGTAAATTTGTATGTTTTTAATATTATAAGTTTTTACCATTCACAAAACAAACTTAGTACATAGTTTATGAGTCTCTATAACGAACAAAAACTATTCTAGCAATTACGATAAATGAAATTTATTGTCATTAACATATATATATACATATATAATAATTTTTAAAAGGAAATATATGAGTAGGATGAAAATTTGCCGTACAAATGTATAATACAAGATTATCAATTTTCTCCTTTAACCACATACCTTGTAGTCTACCTAGGTGTGCCTTGTATCATATAAGGTCATCAATAATTAGGAGTTTCAAGCCATTATTGATCAATTGTAGGACATATTAAATGGTTAATATGCTAAACTCATTAATTTTGTAGGAAAAAACAATATGATAAAATTAGTTATGTGAAAGATTCTAATCTACCTCAGGCGACCTAATACTCTTTCTACTAAAGTCAAGATATTCTCGATAAGATTAGAATAGATTTTTGTGGGACAATAAGGCCTTGGACCACGGTTGTATTTGATTATATGAAAGACTACATGCACAAGCAAAATCAAGGTGGTTTGGAAAGATTTGTTGGTGTTGGCCCAAGTATCTAAGACAATCAAACAGTGGAAGATGATGAATTTAAGTTTTCTAAAATTTAGATAACTTAAAGAAAAAAAAAAGTAAGCATGCAAAAGTAAATTATTAAGACAATTAAAAAATTGATTCACAACTAATAACTTAAATATAACGTATAAATTTAAGAGAGTAGGGAAGGAATAGTAAACTCAATTTATAGAGATTCAACCATCAATCTCGTATATATATCCTCAACTCAAGTAACTGACTTGAAATTTTTACTATCTTTAATTTTTTTACAAAAAGAGAGTTAATAAGACGTATAACTCACCATACGATATGATTTTTTCTTACAAAAACATACCAAGAGATTTACTCTATTTTTTATATATAAAGATTAATGATTTTTAAAGAATGAATAATAAAAAAATCTCCTTTAGAATAGATATTACAAGTAGAGACATTTAAAATTTTAAAGTATGCCTTAAGAATAAAAGATGAATTTTTGCTCTTGGTTTCTCAACAAATCTTATAAAAATTAAGTAAATAACTAATATTTAAAAACTCAAACAACTTTGAATGATAATTCTAAAGAATCTCTCTCAAAAAATAAATATGCAAAAAGAAATTGTTTGGATATCTCAAATTTAACTCGAGAAAAAAAATTTTTTTTTGTTTTTGATTTCTGAAAAAATTGTATTAAAAAATAAATAAATTAAAAGCATTTATAAACTCAAAAAATTTTTAGAAAATATTTAACAGAAGCTCTTTAGATTTTTTATTATCGTCTCTAAGCTCATAAGAATTATATAATAAGTTTAGAAAAAAAGTTTAACCTATTTAATTATATAATAAATAAATTTAAAAATATTCGATAAAAAATAGATATCGTTTAAAAAGTAATTAAAAACAAATATAATTTGATAGATACAATTAATTAAGTACGTATAAGTAGTATCACATAAGATGTCTATATTCATAACAATAAATTCGAGTACATATTTTTCTAGGACAAACATAAATTAAATTATTAATTACAGAAATTTATTTTAAAGTTTTTGGACTTAGGAAATTTACTCTAGTTATTACTAAAACAATATCCTGCAATTAAAAATACAATGTACACTATATATATATATATATATATATTAATGACCACAAATTTAAATATAAATTATTTTATATATAATTAAAATATTATTAATTACAAAAATTTATTAGAGCTATTATCAAATATTTTCTAAACTAGACATATAATATATATTAATGACGATAAAAGTAGAATATTCTTTATGCTATATAACTAAAATACACGTTTCTCAAATTTTTTACTTAAAATATATAATATAGAATCTATATACGGTGAAGATTACACCCAACTCAACTATATGTATATATATATAAGATTCCTTGATAATTCGTGAGCAATATCTTGGATGTGCTGAGTTTAATGGGGTTTAAGAAAAAAAAAAATTAATTAAAACTTAAAATTAGTGCGTTAAACTGAACAGATTAATTAATTAATCGATTAATTAAAATTTATGACAGTAATTAATATTAGGTGGGTCCACGCAACATTATGGAGGGAGGACCCCGTCAATATTTGATGTACAAAAGCAGCTGCCAACAGGAGGAATCCTTCTTTCTTTTTCGCCTAAAAAATATGATTCTCTCACCGTTTTATTTAATCAAAAGATATTTAATTTGTCTCAATAAAGTTTCCCAAAAAGTAAAAAACTTTTTATTTTTTTATTTTAAAATAAAATAATATCCAGAAGATAATGAAATAAATTAATTAAGTAAAAACAATACCAATCTAAAAAATTAGAATTTTTAATTTTTAATTTCTTACATTATCATACATGTATAAATAATTTTAACCATATAATTTTATAAAAAATTGACTTATAGATTCACAAGAGTATTATAAAATTTCGTACGTGGTAAATACATCATATTTGAATATGAATTGATAGAATTTGATTTTGATTTCGATGTCATACTAAATTTTGTACATAAAAATTATATAATATTAAAAAAATTTGTCACCATGTATAAAATTTGTTATAAATCTCATAATCATGAAAGGCAAATTTTGACATATTTTTCCTCTTGTAAAAAGCGGTTGATCCTCTTCTTAAGGAACCTAATGATGTTTTCCCACTAAGGTTTCCACTCCGAAAGCTTTGATCGGATTCATATATTATATATGTACATGCGTGTGTATATAATACATATATATATATATATATAGAGAGAGAGAGAGAGAGAGAGAGAGAGAGAGAGAAGAGAAACAAAAAATCTTCCATGGAAACGTGGGCTATGTTGCTGATATAACCTCTCTTGCTTTACGGGACATGTTGTTCCCCCTCAATCGAGACCACAATCATTCTAAATTTCAAACAATGAAGATTAAAGAGACCTCTCCAGCAAGACTCATATATATATATATATATATCTTTGCCCTTTTCTTTTGATCGTTAATAGTTTACTCTACCTGACGCAGATGCTAGCTTTTTTACTTTTGTCATTTCTTAATTAAATTTTCACTTTTATCATTTACTTCATACAGTTTTAAATTATTTGAAAACTGAAAGAGGGTGAGCGAGTGATGTGTGTGTGTGTGTGTGTGTTTGTGTGTGTATAAAGAAGAAGAGAAGAGGTGGGTGGGTGTGAAGCGGAGTTGAAGAATCGGTCGGGTACCGTCCTGACCAACCCAGTTGTGGTGTTAATTGCAGTCTGGGGAGAGAGAAGGACATGGCTGACAGCTACAAGAGATTTTGTTGCACGAGAGAATCTTCCTCATCAGGTGTCTGCATCACCTTTGACTACTTTTACTTGACTTCTATCTTCTTTTTATATTATTTTATAGATTACATTTTTAATAAAGTTTAAAATTATAAACTTTAAGATAAAATATAAACATTCTTGCTACCATATAATCATAACTCATTCTCTTTATTTTTCATTTACTAATTCACCAACCCTTATATATATATATATATATATACACATATAAAGATGTGTTGTATCTCCTCGTTGAAAGTTAATTGTTTTATTTATCGGTTATATTGTTTTTAATGTACATTTATATTATATTGGGTATGCATAATTGATATCTTGTTAAAGTAATTAAAATTGATAGTGGTA